ATTTTAAGTAGTAGACTTTTTCTCAGAAAGGGTTTTGAAATCTGAATCTGAGTGAATTTATAAAGTGTTTGTAATTCTGTCAGAATTGGAAGGCTGAGGACTGTAAATTTTCACTTGTTAAATAACTAGCTTGACCAATGGCAAATGAATAGGCTCAAAGGTTAAAGGCAGTGGTTCGCTGAACTCCATAGCAGACTGCATGAGGCATGTTTCCAGTGTTACTGAGCTGTTTAGCTGACCTTTTCGTCTTTTTTCCCCTCTTTTAGCAGGGGAGGGTGTTTTATATTCATGCACAGTCATTGACTAGAGAGGCCCTACACACTTCATTCATCACGAAGTAGAAACGGAAAGGAATAGCACAACTTCCTTACCTGTTGCACATGTCAGGACGCAGTTGTATGTGTGGAGAGATGTGCTGTTTTTTATGACTCTTAGTGGTAATGAAAACATTTTGTTCCATTAGTTCATGATGGAAATAGGAACTCCTCTTAAAATAGTATGTATTTTTAAAATACAATGCATTTTAAAATATTATGTATTTCAGTATTATAACATCAAAATACCATGTAGCAATATTCTCACTGTTGAGTGTTCTGCTGGAAGATAATGAACATGTGACTGGCTTTGAATCTCTTAAGAAGAAGCTGTTCTTGGCTGGTAATGATGTCCAGTATCTGTCAAAAGGAACCACAACAGAGGCAACTTTTCCTCACCTACTTAGCCTGAGGACTTGGCAGGTCTCTTGTACTAAACAGGTTAAATCTGATCTGTATCTGACAGATCTACGATGAAAAGTTGAGGAAGTACTATTGCTAGTTCAGTGCAAGGCAATCTCTAGTAAGTCTGCCTGGAGTTGCAGCTCCAGCATGTTTCCAACTGCTGTTTAGCAGTGAGAGGTGGTTTCTTTCAAGTGTGGCATCTATCAGACCAGAGGGGGATACTCTAGCCTTCTTTTTGGTGGTTTTTAAGATATGGCATCATTAACATCAAAACTAGCATTGTAGTTTGTGCACGCATGTATGAAGCAATGTGTGAGACTCAGCAGATGCTGTCCATGCACAAATGTGATGACTCATCAGAAAGTCACACAGCTGTTTCACACCAGATCTCCTTTGTCTGCCTGTGTTTTCTCTCCAAATCACACACAAGTTTAACCATTCCCTCAGACACTTATTTGCAACTCTCTGAACACATCAAACCATTTCAAAGGATAGCAGAACAGAGTGTAAGCGTATCTTTCAGGTTAGTGAAGGAGACTTTGGGGGAAAAATTATTATTTTCTTTAGATGTGCCACTGGAATCACGTGATACCAACATTCAGGACTGCAATTTGAATGCCTGTAGGACTGGGGACTGCTGAAAATGTAGGGTCTTGTTTAAATGGCACTTTTCACTGCCAAAGTGTTTGTGACCAAAGTTTTACTCGTGGAAAAATAAAAATGGCACTTTCCAGTAAGGGCATGTGGTTGAAATTTTGATGATAGATGTACATATTCAGAGGAGTTTGCTAAATCTGACTGGAGCAAAGGTCCAGCATGTTTTCTTTTGTTAGTGACCCGCGGCTTGTTTGATCTAGTGAGAGTTTAGAGTAATCTGGATACTCTCAGAGTGAGGTTCAAACTGTATTATGGTAGGTACACAAAGATATAGGGATGTCTCTCTGTCTGTCTGTCTATCTGTCTGTCTATCTATCTATCTGATAATAGGTGTAACTATACCTGATAGAAGAATTTTGCAGTAAGTGAGGCTGCAGAAGTGTGACAGGGAATTTGATACCAAATTTAGTGCTTAGCTAACAGCCTCTTGGCTTGTACTTATGGGAGAACTGAATCTCTATGTTGGTTCTGCAGGCTTGCAGTAATGAAGAATAATTTGCAGTTAATTCCAAAAGAAGCATTCTGTGCATGCATATGGCTTCGTCTCAGAGGAAGTGTGCTTATCCAAGATAGTATTTAAACATGTATTTAAGCAAAAGTTTAACTATCAGTGAAGTTATGGAGCCAAGAATATGCTTAATTCCCATCCCTACATCTAGAATATTAGTACTGAATGGTTATTGAAGGATACATCAAAAATTGAAATCTAAGTTCAGAGGCGTAGCTTGAGTTAAACATAAAGGGGAAGAAGATTTTCAGTCCTACAGCTAACAATGCTGTGGAGTTCCCAGTTAAAGAAGAGGGCAAAAATCTGAAAGATTTAGAAAAAAAAGCAGTTGAAATATTTTTGTTGTTCATTTTTCTTTCGATTTTTTTTTTAAGCCTTTAATTTCCTTTGAAAGAAAGCAATATGAAATATGGTATGCTTAAGTATTTTTTTCTATTAAAAATGTTCCTTAAGCTTCGTAATGTTTCTTTAAAACGTGGTGCATAAATAATAAAATACATGATGACACAGTACAGAGATTATCTTGGCAAAGCCTGGCGTGACTGAATCACAGAGCTTGACACTTGTGAATAATGTGATCATTGCAAAAGTGTGCCAATGAAAGCTTCATACCTCACCAGTACGTGTGTACAAGTTTGTTAGTGCATTCTGTTTCAGCACATTTTCTAGTACTGGATACCTTGGATAACTGAGGCTGTGGCTTTTTTGACATGGTGAATACAAAGTGAGAATAGTTTCAAGAAGGAAGGGTCTCACATCCTATTCCTTATCCCTACTGACTCTTGGACGCCTACTCCTTTCCTTTGCCTTGAACCGGTTTTGGTGCTCAAGTTATCGCAAGGACGAATTAGCTCAATAAAATGAAAGATAAGTACCGTGGCAAGAATAAAGGAAAACATGACTTTTTTCTTCTTTGTTATTAAATTGAATCATCTTACCTTGATACCTTATGAACAGGACAGCAAGGAGTTGTGTGTACCAGGCCCTTTGCTGTCTGCTTACAGGTGCATGCAGCAGCTCAGGGGGGAAACAGCAGGGGCATGTAATGTGTTTCTTGTGTGTTTGCTGTTGGCAGTATTGCAAAGTGTACCTTAAGAACCTTATCCAAGGTGTATGACCAAACAAGCCTGTTACTTACCATGTTTGTGTGCACTGCAGTCATCATAAATGCCCAGTCCCAAAAGGTGCACCCTGGGGTTAAGCTTGGCAGGGTGATCATGGCCAGCTGAAGTTTGTCCACAGCTTGTAGTCAATAGCAGAAGAGCATGAGGAGCATCCCTATGGAGTTCTAAAGGTCTTGAACTCCTGTTGAGTAGATGAAGATTTGACTTACCCACTTTTCAATTTAGTCCTCTTGATACAGTGCATAAAGCTCTGAGACACCATCGTGCTGTTTGCAAGCACAGATATGGGTGGGCTGATGTGAGCAGGGAGGTGGAGTTGTAGTCTTGGTAAAGGTCTCACACTCCATCACATTGTTGGCAGCTCGTGTCATGCTGCCTGAAGAGGACACAATATCCCACAGCACCATCACTCCAATTAGAACTCTGCGATCTCACACAGCTTATGTGGGATCTTGAAGTAGAAAAAGAAAATGAGGAGTATGTTGTATCATAATGCTGAAAGTGTTAGAAAGCAAGAGGAAGCCATGATCAGAGGGAAGGAGGAACAATGGAGGGAAGAGCAGAGAAATTCCTCTTCCTTTTAGCAATGGTAAGATATTTATTCCAGTAGCATCCACAGAGTAGCATGTAGGATTCCTTTCTTTCATATTCCTGTGTCAAATATAGCTGAAGACGGACCATTAATTTCAAAGAGAGTTTGTTTGGAGCGGGGTCTGTTCTCAGTGCAAGTAGAAGGATCATTTTTCTTAAAAAAAAAAAAAATGTACTGTTATTGTGGATAGTGCAGCTGCTTAATGATCCAAAGCATTATGAGATAATTGTGGTTTCCTATGCTCTTCCCTCTGTGGTGTTTGCAGTGTTTGCCTTAATGCTTTCTGTTACTAGAAAACAGTACATGTTTAAGAGCGCAAGAAACTGTTTATCCCTTGCAAGCATGTCAGTTACACGCGTGCTACACTGAGTGGCTCAGCTTGTGCCTACCCTTCACCGGCAGGCACGGGTAACCCGTGGAACCCCATTCGCGATGGGGATCGGGGATTGCAATTCTTCCCCGTGAACGAGGAATTCCCAGTAAGTGCAGGTCATAAGCTCAGGTTGATTAAGTCTCTGCCCTTTGTACACACCCCAGGTAGGGGTTGGTCGCTTCTCCCAGGCAGCTATCAGTAAAACAGGAGGGCATGGTCTTAAGCTGTGCCAGGGGAGGTTTAGGTTGGATATTAGGAAGAAATTCTTTACAGAGAGGGTAATCAGGCATTGGAATGGGCTGCCCAGGGAAGTGGTGGATTCTCCATCCCTGGAGGGTTTTAAGACGAGACTGGATGTGGCACTTAGTGCCATGGACCAGTAACCATGGCGGTGTTGGATCAAGGGTTGGACTTGATGATCTCGGCGGTCCCTTCCAACCCAGCTGATTCTATGATTGCTCATGCTGTCAGAGGAGAGCACTGTGTAGGTACTACAGTCTGTTGTTTATCAGAATCTTGTGATCCTGAAAAACACTCAAAAATCCTCTTGTGTAGAGATAGCCCTGTGACATTTAGTAGTTTTGCGCTTCAGAGCAATGGGGGTGGATCCCTACAGCACCTCTCTCCATGGCATTTTGTTTCAGCCAAAGGAAGGAAATGTGTAAGTTGTCTGGAAATTACTAGGGAAATAGAATTCCTATTTGCCTATGAAGAAAATGGTGGTTTCTTGTAAGGAACATCAAATTGTTCATGGAAGATGAACAAACGATGAATGAAGCTCTTCAGAACAGTAGTTTCATTTTAGCTGGCTATATTTATCAACATCCTGTTGTTTAGTATTTCATCTTTTTAACAATATTCCTTTTCCTCCACTTCTTGCAAATATCTCTTTCAGTTTCTGCAGATAGTTCTGAGTGTTGAAATTGCCTGCATGCTATGCCTGGAGGATTCCAGTCCTGGGCTTTTCTCTGCCTTCCAGTAGCTGTAAAAATTCATTTCCCTTCACCCTTTCCTTCTCTCTTTGCAGGTTATCTTGACAAATCAGATTACCACATCGCTGAGCAATGGCCCTGCGATCCAGGCAGACCTGGTGTCTCCAGCTGATGATTTGTCCCTGTCTGAAGGTAAGAGATCCCTCTATCAGAACTGAAACTCTACACTGACACAAATCCATACTGTAATTTGCAGCCTTCTGTTGAAACACAGGGGTCTGAGAGAGTCAAGTTAGCAAGTCTTGCCTAAAAGAGTCTGGAAACAAAATTATTTTTCAGTTTCTCTGAAAATCCATTTATAAATAAAAAGCAAATATGTGGACTAACTAGAAGGATCTGACACTTTCTGGAGCCTAAGAATGATTTTTTGACCCATGTCAGTTCCTCAGTGTTGTACTGTCTTGCGCATGCGTTTAGAGTATTATTTTCTCAGTCTTCTGAACCTGCTGCAAGAGTAGATACACAGGCTAGGCTGCAAATTTCACCTTCTCTAATGATTATTAGTGATTCCAAAGAGAACCAACTGGTCAGAAAAGAAGGAAAGCAAATACTCGGTCCTGTCTCTTGAATTATGCTTGTCTGGTTTTCAAGTACAGTGCCTCAGACTGCATCTCTATGTTGTGTGAATGTAATAGGAGGGGTTTTGTGATGCCATATATTATTTTACATCTTCAAGTTTGTTTTTTCTGCACAGAATTAGAGGCAGGCATGCTCTTTTTGGGTACTAGTGAGGACTCAGTGTGCTAGGAAGAAAAGTTAATTCTAAATCAAGATTTGCAAAGTAATATAATAAGTTCAGCTTTCCCCACTTGCAAAGAATAGTCAGAGTACCCTCAGTCAGGGACAGATGCAAAAAGTTTCTTATTTAGAGTTCAGTTCATGCATAGACCCAAATGTATGATGTAAAGCAATGTTTCTCTTTCCTGCAAAGACGTGATAATTGCATGTGGACTTTCCACTTCGTATAACATGCGTATTTCTGCTCTTTCTCTCCTTGCTGCACTTTCTGATGATTCTGATCAGCTTATCTGTGTTCTAGTTGATCACAAGCCCTCTTAAGCTTCTCTGACTTAACACAAGTGCAGCCTGGTGGCAAAAACAACAACCAAAAAAAGTGGTTAAAACAGACATTACTTCTGCAACTCATTTCAGTGGACAAGAGAAAGAGGTTGAGGATAGGTTAAACAGAGTGTCAAAGAGTAGCAAGTAACTTCAGTGCAATGCCTTAACACTGATTGCTGGGTTTACTTCATAATTTTGTCAATAGGAGCTTGGTAAAGCACGGCTCATTAAATCATTTTGAAATTGCACTTGTAGCTGTGGTTGGCTCTGTCCCTTGACAAAGTATCTCTGAAGTTCATTGCTTGGATACTGCTCCTTACCTCTGTCAGAAAGAGTTGAAATTTGGTAACTAGATTTGGAAGAGGAAGGCATAATTTTTCACCTTTATGATTTCTTGGCATGAAATTGTGCATCATCTCATTAAATGCTCTTGATCACAGTACTTGTGGTTTTCCTTGTCTTTTAGAGTTGCTATGTATGAACTTTCTCTGAAAAGAAAGGCATAGCTGACTCTGAAGTTGAAGTAATAACAAAATATATTCTCAATAAAACATATTTTCATCCCGTGGTTAAAATATTTGAAGATACTTTGGAAAAAAACATGGACAAGTTGCAGTCTTTCTAAATTTCCCAACAAATATGAAAGATTCTTAGTCCTGAAATCAGGACTATGCAAGAGATGGTATAAAGATTTTTGTAGCAGTTACAGGTTATTAATGAAGCTATCATGTTTTGCCTAAACTACCACCATTATTTTTCACCTTTTAACCCAAGAATGAGTTAAAATGTGTTGGTGCTGTGTGTGTGTTGTATTCTTTTGTTACTCTCATTCCTTGTTTTTAATTAAGGATCTGAAGTGGTAAAATGAGCCAGCATCACAGTTGCTGAAAATGGAAATGTTTGTTTTGCCACAGGACAAGAACAGTACAGTCAGTAGCAGTGCAGGCTCCTTCAATAATTCAAGTTTTATCAAGGGATAAAGGGCTGATAAACTTCTTTCCTTCTCTCCCTTCCTTCTTCTGTTGACTAACATTAACATGGCATTTCCATGCTGTGTTGTGTAATGGAAGAACACAGTGCATCTTCACACTACATAGTGTTCTCCCTGTGTCTTTCTTATTCGTAAAATGGCTGCTTCTGGGTTTCCATTTTTCATCACTTTTAACACGTGCTGTCTACCTATGAGAAAATGTGGAATTTCAGGCCCATTCAGCATTTGATTTCTGTGTTTATCTTGGTATCAAAAGCTACAAGTGTGGACAGTGTGTTTTAGTGGATTTTTTTAACATTGAGGTGTTGACCTGTCCTGAGAAAGTTCCCCCTTTTAATGTGTTTCTTGTTAGCTATTGAACAACCTGAAAGTAGCAATACTTTAATCTTCTGATAATTTTTTTTATACTTTCAGAATCCTAAATTTATTAGTCTTCTAGGGTTAGTGTGATATTCCTAATACTTACTACTCTTTTACAACTGTAGAATTTGCAGGAAAGAGTAGTTAGGTGAGTAGCCAAAGTGCTCGAAGAGGATATGTTGCAGGGTCAGGGATAAGAGGCCAGATTTGTGACTTTCTTACCTCATTGTTCCTTGTCACTCATCACCAACTAAAGCTGAATTTGAACCAGTGACCTAGATGTGAAAGGACCCATAACACATTATTAGTCCTGTAAGCAACTCAGACTACTTGGTTTGTGTATGTCTGATATGTTGTTTTAATCCTATCTGAAATCAGAGTCCAGTCACTGTAAATGGTTTGCTAAAAGGGTAATCTTTCTTAGGGAGAGGCAGAAATGAAAATTTCAAACTGAATGTGCTATTAGAATGAAGTGGAATGTTACAGTGTCTTTTGGTTTTGCTTCTGATTGTGCTTGAGAAGACAATTGCTTGGGTTATGTGTTAGATTAGTCAAGAAACCAAGGAAGCTGTTCATCTGATGTGTGACAGAAAGTTAATCTGATGAACAAGCTGAAGGGACATTGTCAAACTGTTTCAGGCTCAAAGGTTGTCTTCTGTAGAATTGTAATCTAGTGCATGAGAACTTGTGTCCTAAAAATATGTTAGGTTTTTATGAGAACATTAATGGCTTTGTAAAAGCAGTGCTGGCTGTAAAATCCCACCACTTATGTACCAGTGTAAGAATTCATGAACTGTTTGTTGGTAATTTTTATAGGAAATGGTTATGTCCAGCTAAATTCCCAGATCTGTGCATACTTCTGCTTCAAGACAGATAAAAAAATGCTTAGTTTGTTACAAATTAAAGTGATTAATAAAACACAAAAGTTTCTCTACCCATGGTCTGAGCTCTTGCATTCATTTGGCCTTTACATACTTGCCAGATTATCATCTGAAGGAGTTAAGACTAATAGTCCAGCTCCAAAATTCTCAGAGATGTAAGGCTGTCGCTTCTTCCCTGGGAAGCAAACTCAGTTTCTACTTGTTACTGCACCATTCTTACATAGCCATCTCTCAAACCATGTCATCACAGGAGATAGACTGGAGGATGATTGTGAACACTACTCTTTCACTTTCACTCTTGCTTTATGAAATAGTCTCTGTTTAGCTCTTCTGGTCAGAGACAATTTCCAGTTTGAGAAGCCTTAAAGTTGTTTTAGACTGCAGGGGTGGTCAGACAAGCCCAGGACTATCACAAGAACTAATGCTTTATTACTTAGACATAAAAAGTAGCTGTTACCCGATTAAAATTTTTTTTTAATAATTAAAAAAATAGATTTAAGCTGCATTAGGCTAAGTGAACGCTAGAAAGGGAATGTAAATGTACACAGCAAACTATTTTGCATGACTGTTAATGGATTTTTTAAACAAGTTATCTGTGTCTGCGACTGTACTATTTTTTTTATTTTCACATGAATAAATTTTACCTAACGTAAAAAGTCTTTAGAAATTAATTCTAAGCCTGTGTGTTAGAGTGCTAGCTGGACAGGGAAATTTGTGTGTTTCATTTGTGTGCTGCAAAGAGATAAGACAGTATGACCTACTTGAGGTCCCTTCTAGTCCACCAGTGCCTGTCTTATTAATATATCTGCCAGCTGCAAGCTCTAACTTCCTCTCACAGACATAAAAGCCAAACTCAGTCTTTCTTGGAAAAAGCTCAGGAGTGTGTTGGTATGAACAAGAACAGTATCCCCCTCACAGCATGCACAAAGTGTCAAGCAAAAAAATGAATGCTGTCTTGGGCTTCTTCAGTCTCAGCTAGTACTTTCAGATATTTGTTTGAAAAAGTCAGAATTATTTTGTGTTTAAAATTGTCCGTAAACTTGTGCTAGCTCTGGGGAAGCCAGTGTTCAGTCTTCTGCCATTTGTGCTCGTCAAGCAGTTTGTCATAGCATTGTATATTTTTAGTGCACAGTGTGAGCAATGAGTTTAGTCTGACCTTTTCAACTTTGTTGCTCTGATCTTGAATTCTTTTAAGCTGTTGAGCAGAAGAAGGCTTTCGTGTTGTGGAGACTGGAGAAAACTAAGCTGCCATAATATCTCCCACCCACAGGATTTTCCTACTTTAGCTTAGGAGCAGAAGATCTGAAGCTGGAATCTTTGGCTTCTCTTCCTTGCTTTCCCCTTGATTTCTAGTCATATTGTGATTAAATTGTTTTATTCTTCAAGCCTCAGTTTACCATTTTTTAAAGTTTGGGGTTATATTTTTATTCTTCAACTTTTTTTTGCTTTCTTAATATTTCAGGACATTCCTAGGGGGAAAATAATGAGTTGACCTCTTCACCTCAGAGTAAGATCAGTTCTGTAGTTTATTACTTCTCTCTCTTCAAATCCTCTTCTTTCAGTCCTGGTGCCAAATGGAGTGAAAACACTGAAGGAATTATCAAGTGAACTGAGGAGCCCCCAGAGATCAGAGGCTGTTGGTTGGTTTTGGTTTGTTTATTTATTGATTTATGTGTGCAATTAATGCTTAGGGTTGGATCTGCAGGTGACTTAATTAAAATAAAAAAGAATATCCTGTGAGAACATAAACTTACCTGTTTTGCAGGAACTGTGAGCTTACAGATCAAGCAGCTGTTAAAAAAGTTTCTAAAACACTTCCTCCTTGTAGTTTTAAAGCT